TTTTCTTGATCTTAGCCAGTCTGACTGGGGTGAGGTGAAATCTTAAAGTGGTTTTAATTTGCATTTCCCTGATTATTAGTGATGTTGAACATCTTTTAAGATTTTTCATAGCCATCTTTACTTCTTCTTTTGAAAACTTTCTGTTCAGCTCCTTAGCTCATCTTTCAATTGGGTTGCTTCTTGTTTTGGGTCTCTGTTTTTTAAGTTCGTTATATATTCTGGTAATTAAACCTCTATCAGATGTATCGTTGGTGAAGATTTTCTCCCATTCTGTGGGTTTTCTTTTTGTTTCCTTGGTTGTCTCCTTTGATGTACAGAAGCTTTTTAGTTTAATGAGGTCCCACTTGTTAATTCTTGCCCTTGTTTCCTGGGCTATTGGTGTCCGGTTTAGAAAGTCCTTTCCTACACCTATATCTTGTAGGTTTTTCCCAATGTTCTCTTCTAAGAGTTTCAGAGTTTCAGGCTTTACATCGAGGTCTTTGAGCCGTTTGGAATTGACTTTTGTGCAGGGTGAAAGATAGACCCACCCCGAGAGGCCTGAGGATAGGGGAGCAGGCCAGGAGCACCATCGTGCTCTTAAATCTTAGAAGAGATGATGTAAGAATGATGAAAAAAGCACCATGTGCTTAGACATTTAAAAACTCCTAAATCAAATACACAGAGATAGAAATGTCTAAACACTGACACTGAACGCTAACAATGACACTACACAGAACAATGTGATTTTTCCTCCCATGAGATTGTCAGGAAAGAAAGAAATAGATTTGGGATGATTCAAGCAGTTCTTAGGGACACTTCCTCAAAGTCTTAAGTGTCGCCAACAGCAGGATGATTTGTTTTCTGTTGTGACACGAGTTTTAGGACAGTGCTGCATCTCTAATTTGGGCGTCTCCAATCTTAAATTATGGGCTAAATTTTGTCCTGTTGTAGTTTGAATGTGAAATGTCCTCCACATGCTTCTGTGTTTGAACACTTGGTCCCCACCTGGTGAGACTGTTTGGGAAAGTTGTGGAGCCTTTAGGAGGTAGTTTTGCTGGAGGAAGTTGGCCACTGGAGGCAGACCTTCAGATTTTCTAGCCTTGACCTTGCTTCCTGTTCACACTCTGTTTCCTGACTACCAATGTAATGTGACCAGATGGCCTACTCTTGCCTCAGCTATGTCATCTCTGCCATGATGAAAGATGCTCCTCCAACTATAAGCCAGAGTAGGGAAAGTCACTAAGACAAGTCCTAACTCCCAATACCTGAGAATTTAAGTGTGTGTGAAGATAGACGCTTTAAGTGTTAAGAAAAGATGAGGTTATTAGTAAGGACCTTAATCCAATGATGCTTGTCCTTATAAAATGAAGAGCTGGGTATCTTACATAGGCTGAGGGGTGACCATGGGAGAAGGTGATCATCTGTAAGTTTTGTGTAGCTGTTTCTTCTGAATTGAGGCTTGTAAGACTTAGGAAATTAACAAAACTAACAAGGCTCTGGAAGCTAATAAATCTTAAGAAGCTCAGACATTTGCAAGATTCCCGAGGCTCCTCCTTAAGGTCATAAATGTGGTAAACAATTGCCAGGGAGAGAAGACTTCAGTGGAGTTGTCTGCAAGTTGTGCAGGGTGGTCCAAGGGTTTGACTTCTGGGAGCCGTCACCCATTCTGGAG